GATGGTGGGGACCAGGAGTTTACTTCTGGAGCTTGTTTTACTCTATTTTGATTTTTATAACAAAATAAAGAATAGACATTTTTGGCAACTGAAAAGTCCAGAAGCAAAGTTCCAGCATTTGCGCTGCATCTAGTAAGAGCTTCCCTGATGCATCATAACTGGAGGGCATCACATGACAAGATAGTAAGTAACCTAAAGAGAATTCAGTTTGTAATTCAACCAATCTAGAGACAGTAGAACCTACATGATCAAATCACTTTCTAAAGGTCCTATACAGAACACATTCAAATCACAGTAGATATGACAAATACTCAAACATGGCTCACTTCCACTCCTGAGCCCTTTACTTGATAATTCATGGTACAGATGGGTCTGGCCATCTCTGACAGAACCAGGAAGGAAGAGCTTTGAGTGGTGTTTGTCCCAACTTGAGTGGCTCCTAAGTAAGTCACTTCTGCCCAACTTGACTCTGTCCTTTGGCCCGTCCTGCTTCATCATGATTACTTTCATTGTACAGTGTCTCTACAACTTCTCCACACAGGTCATAGGCATAGTACATGTTAAAAGTCATTAAATAATTAGTCAGAACTAATTATGAGCTGTAAAAATATTGCTTCAAATTATTGTGCTTCCAGAATGAAAATGCTTGTAGTAAGTGCAAACAGAAGCATGTTATTAATAGTTGGATAGTACTTGAGTTAATAATACTCTGTGGCCCTATTAGCCATGTTCTACTACAGATATCCCCTCCCCATCTGCCCAATTTATATCACAGCAGGCAAAAATCTACCTTTCTACTTCTCGATTGCTGTCTACTGGATCCTTGGGTCCTAGAAAAAGAACAATGCTGGTGTTTTCAATAGCAGAACATTTAAAAATGCAGTGTAGCTAAGCCACAACAAAATAGTATTTTTAAAACATAAGGTTTTAGAGAAAACAGATCAGTCCATAAAATTAAACCGAATCTGTCTTAACTCTACAGGTGCTTAGCCTGTTTTGGAAAAGGGGTGGTTTAATTCACCAAGGACATTTCCTTGGTGAAGTGCTACTGTTTAAATGCAAATGAAGAATCCCAGTTTGCCTGGAAAGCAGGGCTGTATTGTATTGTTTAGTTGATTTGAGTGTGTCTTTTCTACTGTGCAGAGAGTCATTTTGATTGTCTTCAACAGACAAATAAGATTAATTAGGGAGGTCCATATTCAATCAGCATAGTGCTGACCTAAGTCGTTTGATCCCTAAAGACTTCCAGGAGTAGAGATTGCATGATGAGGTCACTTTGTGGCTAATGTTACCAACACCTCAGACTAACAGTATCTGTCTCGAAGGGCAGACAGAGTGGGAAAGGCAGGGCCTCTGCAGAGCAGAGGAGTGCATAGTTGGGCCCAGACAGCTGATGCTCTTTTCTGAGATAACTTTTCTTAGATCAAATTTTATGGCTTTCTCTGTCCTTGCTATTGGGGCCTATAGATCATTACCATCGCATATCCACCAGACTTACGCCTGCGGTCCCCACCCAGGCTTCCAGGACTAGGACCAGAACTGTCTAGGGAACCTAAATGGTGCGTGTCTCCACTTGAACGAATGAGTATAAACTTTGTTTCTGGGATCTGTTAGGACTCTTTTTTTTTTTTTTTTTTTTTTTCTGAACACTTCACAGCTCCCTCAAAAGAGTCTCTGTGTTGAAGCAGAGAACCGGAGCAAAATGCCTAATGAAGCATACCCAAAGAAGGGGCTTGAGAGAGATGGGAAAGACTGTCTGGGAATAGGGGGAGGAAAAAGGAAGGTCGAGTTTTCACACAACAGAAGTTGATGGTATCAAAGGCGGGGATCTACAAAATGCCCTAAGCTTCTTCTGGCTCCTTGGATGAGGTCCAAACTCTTGAGTCTCGGAAGTATGCAGGGCGCAGTCAGCGTTTTCACTGCATTCTAACTTCCCCGTGTGTGGGCTAGTAGCAATGGCTGAGGCTGGGCACTGTCCAGGTGTAGGTTGCAGGTGTAAGGAGCCAGTTTTAACTTCTTAGCTTCACCCAGTTGCTGGCGTCCTGCACAGGTTGGTGGCAGGGTTCTGGGATCGCCGCCCTTGTGGCTACTCTGCACCTGGGGCTCAAAAGCCAGGAGCAGGTGTGGCCCAGACCCGTGGTCCGGGTAACTGAACTCATAAGAACCGCCCAGGTCCGGCCCTTCAGTGCAGCCAAGTGTGTTGGCATGCGTTGAACACTCCTCCCTCAACACACACACACACACACACACACACACACACACACACACACAGAGAGAGAGAGAGAGAGAGAGAGAGAGAGAGAGAGAGAGAGAGAGAGAGAGAGAGAGAGCTGGAGGGCTATCACTGCCCTCTCCCAGGGCAAGGGGACCCTTGGTCTCTGGGTGAGGTGGCGGTTCTGAGTTTTCCAAATGGTTCCTTTTCCCTCCACAAGTGAGCTGTTGGCACATCTCCAGAAACCCACTCCATTTGCTCCATTTGCTATACTAAGTGTACCGTGGCAAAGGCAGGGGCGAGGGCCTGTGAACCTGGAAAACAAAAATTCTAAATGACCCTATTCCCCAAGAAGGAAAGCAACACAGTGTGTACTTAAACGCGGAAATGCAAACCCAGATCAACTCTCTCCCGTGCATACAAACGACAGTGACAAAATCAGCCAGATCTCGGCTGCTTCCCAAAAAAGGCCTCATGAATGAGAATGAGTTGCTAGGTTTCCCTGCCCCCACCCTCACTCCGCGACAATCCCTTCCCACAAGGTTTCCATTCCCGAAAGAAACCTGGCAGGCCAAGTGACTACCAAGTTCGGGAACCTAGCCAGGCCCAGGAGCGCCCGCGGCTGCTCCCTCCATCAGGACCCTGGAGAGTGCCCGCGCCTCGCCCCTTTGGGACCTGAGCCCAGCTCTCCCTGGTGCTCTCTCCACCGGATCCGCGACACACTGTCACTTTTATTCGCTGCTTCCCGCCTCATCCTTCGTTTTTCTTGGCAAGCACTACTCTTTTATTCACAGACAGATTGAAATGTTTTTGTGTTTTGTTTGAGGGAAGTATTTGTATTGGCAGAATCGGGTTCTGGTTTGTAACTACACTAAATGTAAGTGCCCAAGAAGCTAAAACAGGCTTCAAGATGGAAGCCATGGTCTTTAAAGCACTAAGGCACAGAGTGACACGTATCTGTAAATACTCAGTAAGCTGAAGCCAGAGAATGGAAATCTTAAGACTAGCCTGGGCTACTCAGCAAGGCATTGTCTCAATAGCAGCAACAACAAAACAAACAAAATTTTAAAAACAATAAAAAAATTTGAGAAATTTCTTTTGTTATCCCTACCTCCTCCTCCTCCTCCTCCTCCTCCTCCTCCTCCTCCTCCTCTTCCTCCTCCTCTTCCATCACTACCACCCTCACCACCTCCATCTCCTCCTCTTCTTATTTGAGACAGGTTCTCAGGTTCCTATGTAGCCTATGCTGACCTCAAATTCATAAAGTCAAAGATGGCCTTACATCCACCACCCGATGCTGCGATTCCTCTTCAGTGTGAGAGTCCTGTCATATGGGCAATTTTGCTGTGCTGAACCTAGGGGCTTCCAGCATACTAGGGAAGCACTCTCTCAAATTAGCTACATTCCTAGCCTTACCTTGCATACTAATTCTCTCACTAAAGCAAGAATAGTTAAACTTTAAAGTTTTGAGTGGTGGTGTGGTGTGTGTATATGTGTGTGAGTGTGCATATATAAGCAAGGTCTATCTGTGCTTTCTTTCTTTTTTTTTTTTTTTCCCGTTTTGGTTTTTCAAGACAGGGTTTCTCTTTATAGCCCTGGCTGTCCTGGAACTCACTCTGTAGACCAGGCTGGGCCTCGAACTCAGAAATCAGCCTCCTCTGCCTCCCAAGTGCTGGGATCAAAGGCGTGTGCCACCACTGCCTGGCTCTATCTGTGCTTTCTACATAGTCCTGGCTGTCCTGGAACTTTCTATGTAAACCAAGGTGGCCTTGAACTCACAGAGCTCTTTGCTTGCCCAAGTGCTGGGATTAAAGGCATGTGCCATCACTCCAGACCAAAGATTCTTTTTCAAGACTAACTTACATCTTTCATTTTAACTAAAGTAGATAAACTTGAAAATTAAAGTGTCATCCCTACAGTTGGGGATTGTTAGTGGGAAGGCTGTTTCTAGGACCCTGTGCTCCTGACTACTACACTAAACATGTCCAAGAATGATATCTTTTTACCTTACCCCCCCACCCCCCCAAAAAAAGAAAAAAAAACATGTTTACTTTCATCCTCTTTCATGCATAAGTCTCCTGGGCATATGTTTCAGGAAGCAGAAGAAAATAAGATGGAGTTCAGAAAAGAGGCCTGCAGTAAGAATGCTTACAAACCCCGAAGGAATCCTGTCTCCCCCACTGAATGCTAAAGCCATGTTGGCCACTTCCTCCCCACTCCCCACCCCCCACCCCCAGCATAAGGTGGGTCTGGCATTCTTCCGGCTGAGAAGCAGCCAAGACTCACTTAACAGCTACCCAGTGGGACCTGGTAACTAAGTCTATTACGACCTCAGGTAGATAGTGGTATACTGGAGAAGGACAGCGCAAGGAGGATTCTGATGAGGGAAGGAAAGAGGAAAACTTGCAAAAATGAATAGACGATGACGCCCACCACGTTTAATGTGCATACAGATTATAGATGTGCAGGTTCTGATGAACTAGGCTGGGAACCGGACACAAATTTTGCATTCCTACGGAGCAGCTGGGTACTGAATATTGGCAACAGCTGCTGGTTCTGAGACCACAGAGTTGGGCAACATTGTTTTAAAGGAGGGAAGAAACTAATCTAGTGCTTTTTTTTTCTTCCACCGACCTTCTTTTGTATCCGCAAAGTAAATTCTCAAAATGCTTCAACAAGGTTGCAAATAGGTGACTGGACAAGATCCTAATGATGTGCTGGTTTTGTTTCTCTCCTTCCTACACACCCTTCCCGCCGCCCGCCCTGCACAGCTCCCAGACTCGCCCACCGTGCCGACTCTATTTCGCCACCTTTGTAGCCTGCTTTCCAGCTCCACGAGACTGTTCTGGTATCTTCTGCGGAGACCCCCTCCCGCGGCTCGCCTGAGAAGCTGGGACTTTCCCCCTCAGCCAAGCTCCTGGTCCACTGCCCGGCTCTCTCCAGTGCCACGCCGCCTCCTCTTCCTACTTGCAGCCTCAATGGCTCTGCCAGGACGACCTCCGAGGGGTCGTCGTCTGAAGCTGTCAAGTCCGAACCCGGAGCCGAGAGGAGAGGACGCCTGTACTGGGAAGAGTTCACCGGAGTCTGTGAGTACTGGGGACTCCACTAAACCCACCCTCGGGTTCCGGAGCCCCCAGCCTTTCCCACTCGCTCTAATGCTGACTGACCTCGGGCTGGCACCCAGATACTAAAAGGTTGACACAGAGCTGAGCACACTGGAGGAAAGATCACCTGCAGCTCTCGGACACTCCCACCTCCGCGGAGGCACTAGAAGCTACTCTCTCCCCAGCTATTTGTTCTGTTTCTACCATCCTAGCAAGCAGGAGGAAACCCTCTGACGCCTCCGAGGATCTTTTTTCAACTGTAGTTGCAGCTCCCCCTCGAGCTTCCCCAAACATCCCTGCGCGTTGTCACCGCAGCCCGGTTCGCGCCCCGACTCGTTTGCCCTCTCCCAAGAAGAGGGAGGAAATGATGTGATATTATTTTTGTGTCAGGTCACTTTGCTGCCTGAATTTAGCCCTCTCAGCTCAGGCGCACTGCCCCAGGGACCCACTCCAAGGGTTACTCCCCAGACGCCGCCAGGCATCCTCAGAGCTAGGCGCCAGGTTCTGCACCCGCGTGGGGCTTCCCCTCCCACCGCCTTTGAGTCGAGAAAAAAAAGGAAAGTGCCAAGGGACTTCGGAGAGCGGTGTCCAGGCTTAGATTTTCCTACACTCCACCCTGCCATCCCAGTCGCCAAGTGGGGCCATCCGACTCGGGCTGGCCGGGACTGAATAGGACCACTGTCTAGAGTGGGAGAACAGATCTCTAGAGAGGCTGTACCGAGGACTGAGGTTAGTGGCGCTAGAGTCAAAAGGGACAGTGGGAATTGCCCTGCAAGGGTGGGCAGCTCCCAGGAGTACAAAGCACCAGCTCCTCTCGAGACCTCTCCCTTACCCCCACGCTGGCCCCCCAGCATCACTTCATCCACAAGGTCCTAGCACTCATTCACGCACTTTAGATAGCCCCCCCATCCCTCCCCGCAAGCTAAGGCCAGGGAATAAAAAGAGAGGGCCTTGCAGACACCCTCAAAGCTCGCTCCCGCCGCACCCACTATTTCGTTGTGATTAGAAGAGGGGAGCCAAGATTGGGACTCTGCTCGCCCGCATAGGGACTAGGAGTACCCCTAGCCTCCGAGTCCTGCGCGCTGCCGCCAGAAGGAGGCGAGCGGGGGGGGGGGGGGGGGGGGGGGGGGATTGCCCTGCGCTAAGAAAGCGAGCTCGGGGGTGGAGAGGAGTCAGAGAAAGGAAAGGAGGAGGAAAAGAGCTCCGGAGCTTAGACTCAGAGAGGCAGGAAAGGGCGGGAGGCACAAAGCCAACGCGGGCAGAGTAGGAACCGTGCTTACTAGTGTAAGAAAACTAAGGCACACTCTGGACGCATGCGCACAGCCAACGGAGGCCCGAGGGCCAGAGCTTCCCCTTCGGCTAGCCCAACAGACCCTGGCTTGGTAAGTACCTTCTCCTCTTCTTCCTCTGACTCTCCGCCGAAGCTCTGGACCCGGCAGTACAAGGAGCTCAAGGGACCTGGGACGCCAGTCTTTCCTTGCCCGGTGGTGCAATGTCTGGCTGGTCATCGCCGTCTGGGTTAGTCAGTTGTGGCGAGTGGGTTGTGGTTTCGGGGCATGTCATTGTCTGAAGGAGGGTTCCGAACCATCGAGGTCAGTTATTATCAAAACCTACCAAGCATGGGGTTCCCAAGTCTAAGACTCAGTGAGGGACGAAACATGCTGTTTAGGTCTAAAGTGCACATCAGCCATGCCAAGCATTTGGGAAAGCCCAAGCGAGTGGAAAAGTCCCAACTCTCTCTGAGTTGGGGGAGAGAATGTGCCCTAGGCTGAGGACCCGAGGCGGGCAGTTTGAGCGCAGGTGGGAAGGAGGTGACACTCCCGGAACGCACTACCTTCTTTTCAGAAAAGCGCATAACAGGTCGAATGGCGGAGCTAAGCTGGAAGAAGACCGCACCCTGAGCGCTGAGGTCGGCAGGCACCAGCAACTAAGTAGACAGAACAGTCACTTAAGGGACAGGCTCTGGGATGGACCCGGGAGCTAGATTTCTCACACTCGGTGTGGCTTTCGGGATGTTGCGGGGTGCCCAGGCTCCAGCGAGGGTAGGAAGCAGAGAGACTGCGCGGAGACGAGCCATGGGGACTCGAGTCTTTGTATGCTGGTGCCCTCAGACTTGAGGAAATTGGACTGGCAAGGGGCCTTAAGGGAGACAGCTCCCTGGGACAAGGGTGGGCTCTTTCGGAGATCTGGGTGCTTGAGGCTATTCCATCCTACAGCTTCAGAGGAGTGGGTAAAGGAGAGGCCTCGGAAGAGGCAGCGCGCAAGGTTGGAGTGAGTGGGTGTTTGGGGAGATGTTTCAAAGTGCTGCAGGATTTCCACACATAGGGAGTGGGCGACCTGAGGTGGACGTTGGGGATCGGTGTGCGGGCGTGCGACCTACCCTCTCCGCGGATCTGGAGGTGGGGCGCTGGGAGAGGTGGCTCTCTGGGGCTGGGATGGATCAGGATCTTCCTGAATTCCATAAGCAGAAAGGAAAACCTGGGCAAGAATAGCTAGCTAGCCACACACAGACAACCGGTGGTAGACGTGGGGTGAAAGCGTGTTTGGGCCCGGGCTAAGGCGGGCAAGGCGGTTCTGGCAGGAGCAACAGCTGCCTCTGCGCCCCTAGATGGAGAACAGCGCCACAGCGCTAAGAAAGTGGTGGTGCAGAAGGGTTTTCTGTTCTGACGGAGAGTGCTGGAAAGGAAATCCCTCTTCCTTTCCTGAGACTGTGGTGAAGGCTACCCTCTTGTGAGTTTCCAAGACTTCACAGCCAGATAGCTGGCTGGATGGCCTTGGTGGCCAGTCTCCACTGCAGGTTAATACAGCACAATTTCTGGGCTCATGGTATATAAATACTAGTCATAGTGTTGTAGAGACAAACAGCTCATGGGTTAAATTTCTTATAGCACGTACAGCTCTATAGCAGACCTGAGTTGAGCTCCCAAGACCCATGCTGGCTGCTCTCAACAACCTGTAGCCTTAGTTCCAGAGGATCCAATATCCTTTTCTTGCCTCAGCATGCACTAGTCCTACTTGTGGTGTACCCACATACATGCAGGCACTCATGAATAGGCATAAAATTTTTTAAAAAAAAAATCTTTTTAAAAAGCTGTTCATACTGTTTTTATATTGATACAGCATTAGCTTAGTAGAGTTAAAAATCTAAAGACATAGGAACATACAAATATGTATGCATTGCTAGCTCCAGCTCCCCCAAGGCTACGGAAGAAAAATATAGACCTTGAGGTCAAGTAAGCCACATATTGCCATTTTTTCTCAAAAAAAAATTAAAAGAATATAAAGATCAGGAACAGGGTCCCTATTTTCGTATGCTATAAACAGTATGTTTACACACTAAAAAGGGTTTCATTGACAAAATCATGAAGCAGTAAATGTTTTTTCTCAATGCCAAAATTTAAATATAGTTCATTTCTCTATCACTGGACCCTTTCATTGTGGATAATTAAGAAATACTTGCATATGGGCATCTAACATAATTTAAAGAAAAGTTTTCTCTTTAAAAAGAGTTGGGTTTGGTGAGATGTTACAACAGGTAAAACACTTAGTATGCAAGCCTGAGGACCTGAATTTAAACCCAGGTACCCAAAAGCACACATAAAGGTGGAAGGAGAGAACTGACTGAACAAACCTATCCCTCTGACCTCCTCATGAACCATGTCTTCAGCATCCCTCCAGTACATCACACCCAAAACCAACCAAGCAAACAAGCCCCCAGTATTAATAAATAGATGCTTCAAAGAGTGCGTTTACAGGGCTAGATGTCTATCTCAGCTGAGAGAAGCCTTGTCTAAATGTACAAAGCTCCAGGTTCCAGCCCCAGGTTCTGGCCCTAGCACTGTGTAAATTCCTGTAGTGTCCATGAAAGTAATCTCAGCACACAAGAGGATCAGAAGGTCAAGCCATTCTCTCTTACATAGCAAATTCAGACCAGCCTAGGCTGCATGAGACCTTGTCTCAAACAAACAGAAAAAGAGATCCCTTTGTTAAACAAATATACATTTAAAGAATTATACATTAGATCATGGTATTTACAAAACAGCCAATATAAATACTGAAATGAGGTACTTGATTTTTTATTTAAGAAAGTTTGGAGACTTGCTATATGAATAGACAAGCTAACATTTTAAAGAATACTAAACAATTCACTCCAAAAGCTATATATCATATAAGATATAGGATGATTATTATAACCTAATTACTTATTCGAACATCTTCATTTTACAAATGATGGAAACATTCAGAGAGTTTAGGATTTCAACTACTGAGGTGCTGAAGGAAGATTAGAATTCTGACTCTTTTCTCACAGCTCTGACAAACTACACTGAGGATCTGTGACCCCTTTCACAACTGAGAGGCTAGGATGTACATAGAAGAGTGAACTATACAGTATGTGATAGCTTCAACATTGAGAAAGACAAACTTTGTTGCCATGGTACTTGGTATTATAAAGACATGATCACAAAGGTCTTAGGACAAGCAGAGACCACACTAGCCTCAGAGTTAAGTTCCTGGGGGGGGAGGGGTGCATTCAGTTGCCTATTCTATTAATACCTTTGAAATTTTTTATATTAGAAATTATTTTCAAGCTTTTCTTACATTTTAAAAATCTCTTTCACCGGGCAGTGGTGGCACACGCCTTTAATCCCAGCACTTGGGAGGCAGAGGCAGGTGGATTTCTGAGTTCGAGGCCAGCCTGGTCTACAGAGTGAGTTCCAGGACAGCCAGGGCTACACAGAGAAACCCTGTCTCGAAAAACAAAACAAAACAAAACAAAACAAAGATCTCTTTCGTACATGTCTGAAAAAGGTTTTTAGGAAAGCTTTTAAGATCACACAGGAGATTTTTATTCTTTCAGATTTTGTGGACTGCCAAGTCAAAAAGAAAGTCTTGCCCGTTTGAATAAAGGAACTTAGCTAGGCGTGTCAAATTCTAGTTCTTAAAATCTCACTATGTATCCCTATTGAGTGTTCAAGTCTATC